TACAAATGTATTTGTGTTTTAAGCTAAGTATTATTACCAAAGAAATCAAAAACTTAAGAACTTCATAAAGTAAAAAAGTTAGTGTGCTAAAGAGTTGATTTATTAATGAAGAAAGAATTTTATACAGATTTAGTGCGGCCTAAGTACACAGTAGGTTTAAAGTCTGCAGTAATGTAATGCCTTAGCCATTCACATTCCTGGGAAATCCCCTATACAGGTGTACTGTTATTCTATCTTTTATACCATATTTCCACTGGACCTTTCCTATGTTTAGAAGACACAGATACTCACCATTGTGTTACAGTTGCCCACAGTGTTCAGACAGTAACCATGCTATACAGGTTTGCAGCCTAGGAGGAAGAGGCTATGCCATGTGGCCTAGATGTGTAGTGGCCTGTGCTATCCAGGTTTGCGTAAGTGCACTCTGTGATGTTCACACAGCAACGAAATGGCCTAACAACCCATTTGTCAGAACTATTCCTGTTGCTTGTTGTTAAACGAAATTGCCTAACAACCCATTGTTCAGAACAATTCCTGTTGCTCATTGTTAAACTATTCCTGTTGCTTGTTGTTAAACGAAATTGCCTAACAACCCATTTTCAGAACTATTCCTGTTGCATTATTGTAGGTGGTTGAAATTCTCCAGATTATGAAGAAAGATCCTTTCTTATCAGTTTATTGTTGGTATTCAGTAGGTTATGATTTTGGCTTGAGATTTAATTTCTGGCTGCTGAGAGTTTTTGGTTCATTTTTGTTTAGGCCAGAAGATTCTGTAATACGGTTTCACTTTGTCATTTTATCTTGAACTCTGACAGTTGAAAATTAAGATTTCATTTATTAGGAAAAAACAGGTAGAATTTAAATCTTTCTAATGACTTTATTCTCTCTGGTCTTAAGCTCTGTATCATGGGAAATTAATTTTCTTGCTTACTGTGAGCTTAGCAAAGTAACTTCCTTTGATTTTCCTCTTGGTTTTTTAAGTGTAAATGGTAGGGCTGTGAGGAAGATTACATAGACTCATGTATGTAAGTACCTAGTATGGTGTATCATAGGTGGTGGGCATTCAGTAAGGAGAATTAAGCTTAAAAGGGGCTAGGGGAGTGTCTGCATTGCATATACTCTGTTCCTGGAAAAGAAGATTATTGCCAGATCATCTGCAATGATTTTCTTCTCCTTTAAGGACACCTGTTATCAGCTTTTTCTTTAGTGATGAATCCTCTCAATTTGTGTTTGTTTGAAACTGGTTTTATTTCTCTTTTATTCGTGAAGCATCTTTTCACTTAGTGTAATCTTGGATTGGCCGTGATACTCTCTGGCACTCTGAAGACGTGATGGTTTCCATATATTACTGTGAAGTCAGCTGTCAGCTAATTACTGCTCTGCACAGGTTTTTGTCTTTGTCTTTATGACTGTGTCTAAGATTCTCTCTCTCTTGGTTTTTCTCTTGTTCTCTCTTGGTTACTCTGCGTTTTTCTTTTTCTTTTATCCTGATTAGTATATACTGTGGTTATCAAGTCTGTCTTGATATAGTTGTCAGTTTTGGTTAGTGTCTCTGCAGGTGTTTCTTTTGCCCTAATATCTTCCTCCTGTACTTCTGGGACTCACAGCTTTTCTTTGTGTCTTAAATTCTTTTCCGTATTTTCTTCCTGTGTTATTCTTAGGATTTCATTCTAGATATTTTTTTTTGTGCCTATTTTATGTAATAATTCTTTAGTTTTTCTTCTTAGCTTTGTCTAATTTTCTGTGACGCCTCCTTTGGGTTCTTAATTTTGACTTCTTTCTTTCCTTTTTTTGGAGGCAATGTCTTACTTTGTCTCCGAGGCTGAAGTACAGTAGCACAGTCACAGCTCACTGTAACCTCAATCTCCTGAACTCAAGCCTTCCTCCTGCCTCAGCTGCCTAAGTAGCTAGGACCACACACATGCACCCTCTTACCCGGCTAATTTTTTTTATTTTTTGTAGAGACAGGGTCTCTCTATGTTGCCCAGGCTGGTCTAAAATTCCTGACTTGAAGTAATCCTTCTTCGGCCTTCCAAAGCTCTGGGATTATAGGCATGAGCCACCATGTGACTCTCACATTTTTAAATTCTAGAATTTCAATTATATAATAGCTTCTAGTTCTTTGCCAAAATTCTTAATCTTGCCTTTTAAGTCTTTGAACATATGACAATTATAGGAAGTCCTAAAAGTCCTAAAAGTTACCATGCATATATATATATATATATATATATATGGAAAATGGGAAATTGTAGCTAAATATATCTTTCCTTACAAAATATTCATTATAAAATATTTCCAAAATATTCCTCTACATTTTTATGTATAAATATAAAAATATATAATATAAAATATAATGTGATTTTATTAACTTTTCCTATATTTTATTTTATTTTTTATGACAGCGTCTTACTCTGTTGCCCCAGGCTAGAATGCTGTGGGAAATTTTTCCTGTTTATGGTGATCTTTGGGTGACCTTTTAAAGTCTTTTGAACTAACTCCATTATTTGGAGTGTTTGTTTCTATTGCTCCCCCCATTTTCATGCATATTATTGTCTGCTGATTGAGACGATATTGACCTATTATTTAGTGCCTACTAAGGGTGATCTAATTCTGATTCACTCTTAACTTTAGGATGTATCCCTTTTAGGTCCCAGTTCAAAGTGGGGATTTTATCCAACCTTGTTCCTTGGTGGGCTCGGTACTAATTACCCTTTTTGTCCTTTACCCTCTCACGAAAAAGAATCCCTCCTTAGCTACTAATGCTCTCCGCTACCTCTTCCTAAGTTGGCAGAGGCCGTAGGGGAACGAGTTGCAAATGCTGAGCTTTCTCATGTCTCTCTGTTTCCTCTAGATATGGGCCCTGTTATTTCTCTCTGCCTTGCTTAATATTCACAAAAAGATTTTCTTAAATACAGGTTGAGTATTCTTTATCCAAAATGCTTAGGATCAGAAACGTTTGGGATATTGTTTTTTCGGATTTTGTAATATTTGCATGTATATAATGACGTATCTTGGGAATGATATCCAAGTCTAAACGTGAAATTCATTGTATGCCATATATATAATGCACATAGGTTGAGGGAAATTTTATACAATATTTTTAATAATTTTTGTGAATGAAGCAAAGTTTGTGTTAAGTACTTGGTGTGAACTTTTCTGCTTATGGTGTCCTGTCAGCACTAAAAAAGTTTCAGATTTTGGAACATTTCAGATTTTAGATTTGGGAGTTTTGGATTAGGCTTGTTCAACCTCTCTGTGTGCATCTTTAGCAGAAGAATTGCCTGAACCCCTTAATCTGCTGTCCTGAAAGTGGAAGTCTTGGCTTGCGTTCTTAGTTATTGTGTCACTTTTAGAACATGTAATTTTGGGGGATGTGTCTAGCAGTGGTTCTGGCCAGCTAGGATGGGTGCCATAGAGAGTTCCATATAATTACAGTCTGACCCTCTCATTATCCATTAACACTTTTCTATTTTTTTAAGTCTTTGCATTCAGTTCAGGTGTCAGGTTCTGTGTTCTATCCTTTCCTCTTCATTGCCACTGTTCAGCAGTATCAGCTCTTTCTTTTCTTTTTTTTAATTAAATCATAGCTGTATACATAAATGCAATCATGGGGTACAATGTGCTGGTTTTACATACAATTCAAAATGCTTTCATCAAACTGGTCAACATAGCCTTCATGGCATTTTCTTAGTTATTGTGTTAAGACATTTATAGATCAGCTCTTTCTTGACTTCTCTCATGGCTTCCTAACTGGTCTCCCATATGCAAGGCCGACCCTTTTGATCTGTAATAGTTCCATATTATAGGTCCATACTGACTACGTTGATTCCCTGCTCATGGTGAATTGGTGATTCCTATTGTATATTAAACAAAACTGATTTCCTCTGTAATAGGGAGTCTTAGATACCAGCTCATTTCCACCCTCCTTCTTCTTCCCCTTGAGTTAATGTTCCAACCATACCTAACCACTTGTATTTCTCTGAGCCTGTTGTCTACCTTTCCTTGTCATTTTGTAGGGAAATACATTTCCTCTACTTAGAATACCATTCATTGTCTATCTTAGGGGTCCCCAACCATTTTGGCAGCAAGGACCAGTTTTGTGGAAGACAATTTTTCCACAGACCAGGGGTGGGGGGATGGTTTGGGGATGACTCAAGTGCTTTATTACTATTACAGTGTAATTAATAATGAAATAATTATACAACTCACTTTAATGCAGATGCAGCTTGTCACTTGCTACTCACTGATACAGTTTTGATATGAGTCTGCAAGCAATTTGTAATGGTCTCGAGGCAAGTCAAATCTGATGATAGTGTGTATTTGCAGCTGCTCCCTAGCGCTAGTATCTGTGCCATAGCTCCGTCTCTATCATCAGGCATTAATTCTCATAAGGAGCATGCAGCTTAGATCCCTTGCATGCACATTCTACAGTAGCGTTTATGCTCCTCTGAGACTAATGCTGATGCTGATGTGACCAGAAGTGGAGCTCAGGTGGTGATATGAGCACTGGGGAGCAGCTGTTAATACAGATGAAGCTTCACTGGCTCACCCTGCTGCTTGCCTTCTGCTGTGTGGCCTGGTTCCTAACAGCCTGTGGACTGATGGTAGTCCATGGCCCAGGGGTTGGGGACCACAGTTCTAGCTGATGAACTTGTATTCATTCTTCTAAGTCCTTTTCAGATGTCACATTCTTTGTAAACACTTTCTTATTTCTCTTGTGTGAGAGCATGTTTTACACTGTTACCCTTCATTTACCTGAACGTCTCTTCTGCTATCTTCTGAGCTGCTTGCACATAAGGATGGTGTTCTCTCTAAAGCTTGGCTCACATGTGTGCTTTGAACCATTGGTTGAGCCCACCACATAACTCATGAGGATTATGAGAAATTTACCTTTATCTTGGAAGCCAGACTTAGGTGTGATTGAGAGAAAGTGCAAACAGTCTGTAGTATAATTCTCTTTGCCTTAATCCGCTTTTGCTTTTTATTTTAATTTCAGGAGATTTGTTGAAGATGAAAGTGACCTTATCAGCTTTGGATACTTATGAGACTTCTTTCACACCTTTGGTGGTCATAGAACTTGCTCAGGATGTCAAAGAAGAAACCAAAGAATGGCTGAAAAATAGAATTATTGCTAAAAAAAAAGATGGAGGTGAGTAAAATAGTTACTCCTCAGATGTGGTCATGCTCAGTAACTAAAAATGTATTTATAAATGTGTTTTACAATTCTTATAAATATGTATTATTTACTGATGTTCATTTTTTGTCCTTTATTATCTACCTAGACTTTAAGTGGCTTTAAATTAATATTAAATTTTAAATCCCCATTAAAGTATAAGGAACATGAGTGCTTTTCTTCACAGCTCTAAAAGCTATGCCTAGCACACTGCTTGGTGTGTGATAGGTGCTTAAGAAATATTTTTCAAGTAACTGGGCAAGTATTTATTGAGTGTTCTTTGTGTGTCAGTGATGGTGCTAACAGAGAATTAAATAAAGTCTAAGGTCTCTGCTTGTAAGAATGTTACCATCAGGGTAGGGAGACTAAATGCCAGTTCTTAGAAATTCTGATAGTGGTAGAGCTGCCACAAAGCCGTGCATGGCACTTAAGAATGAATCATATGTATATTTGCTGTAAAAGTAAAGGGAAGGCTAGCATGACTATGGCAGTGTTTTTTGGAGTGACGGGGGATGACTTAAGACACCAAAATTTAGCCTTCTCTTGAAGGGTGACAGTGATTCTCTCTAGGGGAGAAGGCAGAGGATGATTTACGTAAGAAAACATTTCATAAATTGCATAGAATAACATTTCAAACTCCACTAAGTCTTAAACACTGGACTAAACTTAGACTCCTTTTTTTAAAAATTGTGATTGTAAACTGAAGTGATTTCTTAAAAATAGAATTTTGAATCAAAGTGGAACTTGAAAATGTTTCCAAATAATTAAACTAGCAAGAAACTTAACAAGAATATTTGCTAGCTAAAATTTTGAGTGTTTCATTGAACCTGAGTTCCCTTCCTTAAAATTTCTGTGATTTAAGAATATAAGTAATGTCTTAGCATGAAAGATTCCCAGTGTATTCCCAATCTTCCTTTCTGCTGATTGTGTGTCTTCACAAGGACAGGGGGTGGGGATAGGTGTCTTTCTGCACTGTTTGGGCCACAATTAAAAAAACTCTCCAAAAAAAGTATTTTGGGTCTTCCAGGTAAAGATAGTGAATCTAACAGCCATGTTTACTTTTATTCTCTTCTAAATAGCTATTAAAATGATGATAAAAATAAAAGCACTTAAAAAAATTAATATAAATGACCCACGTCCACATCGACCAAAAGAAAGAAGATACAATAGCAACAAAATTTTAGAAGCTAAAAGACAGATGGATGAATAGAAATTGACCTCTCAAATTTGAGAAAGCTAAAACTTAGGCTGGCAGGGGAGAAAATTGAGATCCAGTTTGGTTTATATGGCAAAATACCCCCAAAGACTCAAAAATTAGTGACACCAGGGGCCGGTAAAGGTGGAGATAAGAATAGTACTGAGAAAAAAGAGGATTGGCAGAAGTACTTAATAAATAGTTAAGTCCCTGCATTCCTTCTGTACTCTACCACTTCTGTGGAACACTTGAGGCTTGTTTTCTGGAGAAGGCCAGATGTGTGGTTTTCA